CGTGCCGTGTGCAAAAACGACTTAACTTCGATTAGACGCTCCTTCCGATCTTCCCGGTCCAGGCAAATGAGAGTTTGAAGGATTTCAAAAGATTTGGATGACTTGTGCAGTTTGATGTGCACGCTCTGCATGATCTCCGATCTGAGGGTTGTGAATGGAATTCGATGTGAGAATTGAACCGGACTGCTCCACGAGTGTGTGTTCCAATAGCTGAGAAGATGAAATGGATGTTGTGATCCCATAACCGATAATATAGGACTGTGGCCAACTCTCATACAAAGTCTTTTGGGAAACCCTTCAGCCTGATCCAGGCCTGATATAAGACTGGAGCCAACTTTCTGACGAGTGGATTATTTTCGGTAATCCACATGAACTTCTGGTGCCCAAGCAGGAACCGAGTCGTATTGTCATTTGCTGTATGGTCAGGTCGTACACTATCTGGTGCGAGTCTTCCGCTGTGACACATTACATCTCTTCCTCGTGTTGGTGATTGTGGGACTTTGCTACACCTTGGATCATAAATGTGCATGCATTACCGCTCAGGCTGAAGGGGCTGACTTCTTTGTACCCTTAGGACCGACGAAATGGTCCAAAGGGCATGCCTTCAGTCATAACATGAAAACATGGTAGGTACTCTTGTACCTCTGTGGCCTATCTGTCTGGAGGGGAAAGGCTGTTGGCACCTGGCACGATTGCACCCAAGACGGTTCTGTGTTTTTAGGGGAACACAGCGCAGCATGGCGCATCAGAAATCAGAGGCTTCGACCGAGTCCGACGGACTAGTTGTTTCCCGTGTCTTCCGTGTTTCTGTTTACAGTTCTGGTTCAAGGGTTCCAGGGTTGGTTGTTTACTGTCGTTCATTTTGCCGGTAACCGTTCCGATTCCAAGGTCGCAGGACTTGTTCCAAGGTCCCAACCCAGAACTGGAAGGTCAATGCTTAAATTCTCTGATTGAAATTTTAGTATTTTACCATCATGGGGAACGATCAACCAGGTGCTGCATACTACACATCTGCACTCTTCCCTCTCGACTCCCACTCTCATTGCTTTCTCTTTGTCCTCGCCTCTCCTCTCTCCTCCCCCCTCCTCTCCTCTCCTCTCTCCAAGCCCACGGGCTTTAGCGGTAGCAAAATCCCGTTGTCCTTCCTGCTGTGGCTGGGAGCCTCACTGTTCGGCTGATCCTTGCCCACTCCCACTCTCTTTGCTTTTTTCTTCTCCTCTCCTCTTCTCTCTCCTCCCTCCTTGCCTCTCCTCTCTCCAAGCCCACGGGCTATAGAGGCAGCGGAATCCCATTGTTTTTCCTGCTCTGGCTGGGACCCTCACTGTTTGGCTGAACCTTGCCCACTCCCACTCTCTTTGCTTTCTCCTTCTCCTCTCCTCTCCTCTTCTCCCTCCTCTCCTCTCCTCTCTCCAAGCCCACGGGCTATAGCAGCAGCGAAATCCCATTGTCCTTCCTGCTCTGGCTGGGAGCCTCACTGTTCGGCTGATCCTTGCCCTGCCGATCCCTGTTAGAATGTAGCTGTTCGAGACTCGAGCTGGCCTCCGTCTTCTCTGGAGGAAAATGCATGGTCATTATCGCTGTAGCTAGACTAGAAGTTGCCCTAAATACAACTATAATGATCTGTTATGATCCAGCTCTAAGTGCGAGAAATGCAAGACCTGCTGAAATTCAAAAGGAGAGGGAGACATTAGAGAGAGATAAAGATTAGATAAGAAAGGAAAGAATCAAAGGAGTTTTTAACTTTTTAGTACAAATTACACCTCTAATTTTTACTAAAGTTAAAACTCCTTTGATTCTTTCTTTTCTAATCTAAAGGAGTTTTTTTCTTTTCAAATTACACTAGAGGAGTTTTTAACTTTTTAGTACAAATTACACCACCTCTAATTTTTACTAAAAAGTTACAAACTCCTCTAGTGTAAAAAGGTAAAAACTCCTTTGATTCTTTCCATGGTTGTTCCGGACTCGGACAACCGGACATCCAGACACGGACACTGGACCCGTGTTTGGATCAAACCGGACACAAAACCGGACATCCAGGCATCCGGAACCGGACAGTCCGGTTCAATGTGTTGGTGTACGGTTGTCCGGATTGAAAAAGAAAAGAATAGAAAAGAAAAGAAAAAAAAACAGGACATAGACACACAGAGGTTCGTGGGACTGGTCGTACATGCTAATGAATTCAACATTAATCAAATTGGAAATGTCAAGTTCATTAGTTAAACGGCCGACGTTCTTCGACCATCAAAGTTCGGAACTTGGGGTGTGGAACCGGCACACCTGACACAAACACACACACACACACACACAACAGAGTTCCACACCTGCTCCAGCCCCCAAGTGCT